GCACTGCCAAGCCCCCACAGCCCAGGGCATAGCAGGCTGCGCAGGGCCTGCCTCCCTGTCTCTCAGGGCTTGCGGGAGGGTCGGTGATGCGGTGGGAGGGGTGGCAGTGCCCCGGATGCAGTGAGAGAAGTGGGAGCCCGAACAGGCAAAGACACCTGTTCAGGCCTCTCAGTTAACCAGCGTATTTTGTTATCCGGCATGCCCTATGGGTCCTGGATAACAAAGCTTTTGCTTTAGTACTGACTCTGGGCTACAAGCCTATGCCAAGGAAGATATGTGAAACCTCACAATGTTCATGTTCCAGAGCGTGTACTTCTGTTCAGAAGGAATGTTTTCAGGCTTCCTATGAGAAACATGGCCCAAACTAGAAAATTCCTGAGAGCACAACTCTACTTCCATTTAGATCCTTGTGTTCCCTGGCTTCCTTTTGACCTTAGATGCACAAGACATAAAAAGTGTGCTTTAGTGGGTTCATTTAACCCTGCCAAGTCATATTAGACATATTGCGTGTTTCCCAAAACCAGCTTCTGTAAGGAGCTTGTCAGGCCCTCTAAGCTTCATTAGATGCCAGAGGAACTCACAGTCTATTACCCAACTTCAGGTGGATTACCTTAGGAATTCAACCTTTGTAGGCCTTAAGGAATTGTTTCTGGATCCCTTAACCCCTAGGATGCTTAACTATCTTCCCTCTTTGAGCGTGATGAGTCAAAATAGTATTGGTAGCTCCTAGCCCAACTAATTTATTTTTGTTTCTTAGGAACAAAGCCTTAACTAAGGCTTGCAAAGGGCTGGGATACCTCCAGCAAGTGTCCCATGATTCTCTGCTCCATTTTCTCAACTCCATGCTTCCCTGCTTCTTTATCTTACCCCATCTCCCAGTCTGCTGGCATCCTCCATGTCCATCTTCTATAGTGTCTTCTGTTCTGCTATTTCAATCTCCTCCAGGCTCCTTGTTTCCTGAAGTTGCATATTTGCATCTTCTTTGAACTCCAGTAAATTTGTAGGATGTAGACAATGGTCTACATGGTCAATCAGAAAAATAGAAGTAGATGGGGTCTGATAAGGTCAGCATAGTGAGGAATATTAAGTCTAATATTCTCTTAGTTTTCTTGCTTTGCATTCTAAATTCAGGATCTAGCAAAAAAAAGTCTTAAAAAAATAATCACTACCCTACTTACAAATATGGCTTGCTTAATAGTTCGAGTAATTTCAGTTTTGATGGAGGGAAAAAAAATCTTTATAGAGATTGATGTACCTATTGAGACCTTTTTCTTCATGGAAGAGTGCTGGAGACAGAATTTTATTTTGACATTAAATCACAGGTCATCAGTCATTTTGATGAGCTGCTTTAAATAATTTGAAACCATTCATGTCAATTCAATTCATTTCCTATTTATTAGGAATAAATATCTGTCCTAGTTTAAGACTAAGATCTTGGACACACGTTACTTTTGTAGCACTGTATACAGCCTTGCATCACTGCAGAACCAAATGTCACCACGATCAGGCTGTTTGTCATGCTACAAAGATGGCATGCCCATTACTAAAACAGAGGATCCACTACAAAAACTTTCCTGTTTCAAACTTCTAGAGTTACTAAGCTGTTAGAAAGTATACTTGTACTTATTTAATTGGGCTTGGTCCTCATCAGTTTGTGAACTACACCTTTTTGCTTGATCTCTCTAGATATCGATGAGTGTGTTGCACATCCCGGTGTCTGTGGTCCTGGCACCTGCTACAACACCTTGGGGAACTACACCTGCATTTGTCCTCCTGAATATATGCAGGTCAATGGGGGGCATAACTGCATGGGTATGTGAAATTTCACATTTATCTGGTATATTGTACTAAGCAAATCTGTGTCGGAATTCATCTGGTTGGTTAAAATATTCCCTACAGCAAGCCTGACTTTGAAATTTTAGAAGTTGTGGCCTCTTTTAAGTGTCTTATCAGAACATTAAGTTGCAACCCTACTGCTTTAAAGCTCTTCACATCATATCGCTTTTTTCTTACCGCTTACTGCAAAACAACTATGCCATGCAGCCAGAAAAGAGATCCATATGGCTGATATGAAATGAGTACAATTCATGAGTACAATAGTACTGAGTACAATTTTTAAATGAAAATCAGAAAGAGCTTTTCATTTTACAAGTAATTTTTTATACTTATATGTGGCTTCCAGGTGGAGAGTTTGCCAGAAAAATGGGTCTGAACAATTTGTACATTTCACTTTTAGTTTCCTGGAAATGTTTTTGTCTTGTCAGGCGTCCATGCCTGAATAGAAATAAACATGTGTCAATGGAGCAAATATATTCAGCCATTCTAATATGAAGACAAAACATGATTAAGTCTTTATTGTTACTTTTTAAATGTGCTGCACATGCACAGTCTGAGAGTCAGAATAAATAAATCTCAGTGGTGGGGTCTGTAGCTGAAGGGATTTGATTTTCATTTGACTTACCTTGTTGGTTATTTAGTAAGTCTGAGTGTTTTCCCACATGTAGACATGCGGAAGAGTTTTTGCTATAGAAGTTATAATGGAACCACCTGTGAGAATGAACTGCCCTTCAATGTGACCAAGAGGATGTGCTGCTGCACATACAATGTTGGCAAAGCCTGGAACAAACCTTGTGAGCCATGTCCAACACCAGGAACAGGTAAAATCTACCCAGAAAATTCAGTTATAGGCATCTACTTCTTTTCCAATGACAGTAAGTTTCAGTCAAGATCATACCTTTGCTGTTATCCAAAAGGAAAGAAGAGTGACAATATTGTTCTTAGCTAACATTTTTATTTGAAATAATTTTATCCAGTAGATACAGAAAGGAGTATGTTGGGTTTGTTTTATTAACTGTGAATGGGCTGTATTTTTAGTAATTGCCAAGGCCCTGAGATGCCTGTGGAGATGCTTGTATGTGCATAAATGAAAATGGTTATTGATATTTAGGTGCAGTTTTCTAACAAACTGGGTACATCTACACGAGATGCTACTAAGCAGTGATTACTGTGCATTTATTTGGTACTTGCTTATACAAGTACTGCCGAGATGCTGGTAGCCTAGTATTAGGCTACTGAACAGCAATGTCATTTAAAAGGCATTCAGTGATGCTACTGCTCAGTAACTCCACTTACCGCGCATTTATTTAGTACTTGTTTAGGCAAGTACTTGTATAAGCCAGTACTAAATAAATGCGCGGTAACTGGAGTTACTGCTCAGTAGCGCCACCGAACACCTTTAAGTGACACTACTGTGCAGTAGCCTAATACTACTGCACAGTAGCATTTTGGCACGGTTTTTGCTACACAACTTTACTGCACAGTAGTATCAGGCTACTGATCAGTCAGCACCTTGTG